AACCTGTTGCTAAGGTAACCTGTCCCAGGAATAGCCCCTCCCAACAGGAAGCTATAAGGTTATTAATTAAAGTGTCCAGGGCTGCTCCATCCCGCCCTTCCCCCTTCCACCCACCTGTTTCCCATCTTTTGGCCATCCCACTGAGCATTCCCGGGCCTAGTCACATAGAGAAGGAGAAAGATAAGGGGGGAAAGGCAGAACAAAGGAATCCTAGGACATATAAAAAGGGCAGAACAGCTCGCCTCTTGGAATACCAGGATACCAGCTATGGTCCCCTTCTTCCTCCTGGGAGAAATCTATGTTACCCCCTTTTAAATAAACCCTGCTTTATCTGCTTGCCTCCGTGTGCTTCTCTAACATTCAAATTTCAACGTGTGAGGGAGCAGGACTCAGTCACCAATAACTGGCAGTACCAGTAGCACCCAAACCAAACACATATGCACATATTAACCAAAGGAAACAAAAGACTATCTAAAAGTTATAGAAACAGATAAGAATTTTTGGGTTGGGGATGTGGCTCTGTGGTAGAGGACTTGCCTTTATGCATGAGGCCCTGGGTTCCATCCCCAGCCCTGAGAAAGGGAAAACAAAGGTTGCATAAGGGCCTCAGTGGGAGACAAGGCAGGAAAACACCTAGAGAATCACCCTAATTTATACAGAGCTGACTGCGCAGAGGCCTCTTCACCTAAGCATTTCTCAGTTAATATTTTTCACTTAGTGACCACAAAGAAGTTCTATGATGGACAAAGAATGTTTTTCCTGGGGAACCCACAAAGCTCCATCTTTGACAGTGATTCCTAAAAACAGCAAATGTTTTTGGAGATATGTTAAATGTCAGGCATCAGGCTAAGCCTTACATACTTGATCTCTTTTAAGCCTCATAAAACCTCTAAGGAGGGTCTGTTTGTTTGTTTGCAGAGCTAGGGATTAAACTAGGACCCTGGGCTCTGATTGTGGCTCAGCAGTAAAGCACTTGCCTAGCAAGTGCAAGACACTGGGTTTGATCCTTAACACCACATAAAGATAAAGAAATAAAGGTATTGTGTCCAACTTTCAATTAACAAAACAAAACATAAACCAGGACTTCTACCATGGAGTTGCACTCCTAGCCCAAGAAGGAGGTATTATCATTCTTAAGCACACATATTTCTAATAAGTGGCCATTTTGTGTGTGTGTGTGTGTGTGTGTGTTTGTGTTGAGGGTTGAGCCAAGGAGCACCTTACTGGTTTATCCCTGAGCTACACCCCCGGTCCTTTTTAATTTTTATTTTGATACAGGGTCTCCCTAAGTTGCTCAGGACCTCACTAAATTGCTGAGGCTGGCCTGGAACTTGCCATCCTCCTGCCTCAGCCTCCTAAATGGCTGGAACTACAGACATGCAACACAGTACGATGCCTAATTTTGCTTGGTTTTGCTGAGACATAACCTGTTAAAAATGAGATTATTTGGACACTGTTCATCGTTTACCTAATCGTAAAGTTAGTTTATCTTCTATAATGGCTTACCTGAAGTTACGTCAGAGCCACTGTGCCCAGCTAAATGAGCAGCTTTAAACACAGCTCTGTGCTAGTCTGCAACCTGTATCATTTTCTTAAGAATTGTCTTCCTCTTCGGAGAAAGATAATGATTTCTGTCATTTACTCATATATATCCATTAATTCAAGAAATGTGCACCCTGAGGGCCCATCATGGGGCCGACCTTTGCCACGTTGTGCCTGAAGGGCGCGTGACTCACCTGAGGTGGAGATTCAAACAAGAGATTTATTGGGGGGCGGCCTGAAGGGAAAGAAAAGGAGAGGCAGAGAGAAGAGGAGGGCAGACAGAAAGAGAGAAGAGAACAGAGAGGAGAGAAAGAAGACCAAGAGGGCAGACAGCGTGAGCTTGCAAGCTTCCGCTTAAGAAGGCTTGCGTAAGCCACGTGGCGGATGCTGATTGGCAGGGTGATGCTCTTCCGGTTGGCGCCTTTTGGAGAGGTCTAAGGGATTCCGTGATGTTCTCGCGAGATGGAATCTCGTCTTGCGAGACGGAAGCTATACTTCAGCACGGAGTCTCCGACACACCCAACATTGCCGATATAACGATGAACAAAATATCGGGGTCCTCACCTTTATGGAGCCTCTAGCTTAATGCTGTCACAGGTCTAGAACAAAGACCTTCAGGTCTCTGATGAGCAGTTGACCCAGCGTGTGCTGAGACTGACCATTTGAAAGAGATGAATAAAGATGACCTTTGACCTAGACTGTGGAATATAGATTGTGCACAGTAAATACGTAAAAATTTGGTTCAGACATGGAACTTGCAGCCTCATCAATGATGAAATGGGCAGAGTACAGCTCGCTCTTGTCAATTGTTTGCAATCGAATGAGAAAATGTGTAAAAGCTGTTATAAAATAGTCAACAAGGAGGAAAGGACTTTTTTTTTTTATTTTTTTTAGTTGTAGAAGGGCACAATACGTTTATTTTATTTATTTACTTTTATGTGGTGCTAAGGTTTGAACCCAGTGCCTCACACATGCTAGGCAAGCGCTCTACAACTGAGCCATAACCCCAGACCAGGAAAGGACTTTTCTTAAAAAAAAAAAAAAATCATGTTAAAGCCAAGAGAGAATAATAAAATAAACACCCGGATACTCATCAAGCGGCTATAACAGTCATCAACTGATGGCCAATTATACTTTTCCTTAGCTACTCATCTCATTGCCCATTTTTGGGGACACAAATTCTCAATGACATATCTTTTGCTCCACATATCTTTTGTTCCACTCTAAGAAAGGGACTTTTTTTTTCCTTAAAAATTTATTTATTTATTTATTTTTATGTGGTGCTGAGAATCGAACCCAGGGTCTCACACATGTGAGGCATGTGCTCTACCACTGAGCCACAACCCCAGGACCCCCTTTTTTTTCTGAAAAAGTAATTTTTAAGGAAACACAGTCACAAATACTATTGTTACTCTTAAAAACCTAAAATAAATTTACAGTAATTTTGTTTTCAAATATCATAATTCGATTCAGCGATCGCATTTCCATTCTTATAGGCTGAATGTCATTTTTAAAATCCATTCAAAAATCCAAAATTTAGGGCTAAGGATGTAGCATGCTTGAGGCTCTTGCTTTGATCTTCAGCAGTGCAGGAAAAAAATTTTTTTCTAAGATTGTGAAATTGGAAGATTTTTGAGTGCTAATGTTATGGTCAAAAAGTTTGGGAGTTTGGACCATTTTGGATTTTGCATTTTTAGATTAAAAATGCTTTACCTGTGAAGTCTATGCCAGAACTCCAAAACTGGAAAAAATCTGACATTTGAAATACTTTTAGTTCAACTAGGTGTGGTGATGCAAACCTGTAATCCCAGTGGCTCAGGACGCTGAGACAGGAGGATCAGGAGTTCAAAGTCAGACTCAGCAATTTAGTGAGTTGCTAAGCAGCTCAGGGAGGCCATGTCTCTAAATAAAACACAAAACAGGGCTCGGGATGTGGCTCAGTGATCAAGTGCCTCTGAGTTCAATCCCTGGTGCCAAAAACAAAAAGTGAAAAACAAAAACTTTTAGTTCCAAGCATTCCAGATAAGAATAGACAATATTCCAGATAAAAATAGACAATATTTCTATTGATTCACCAGGTGGTACAGATACTGTTGGTGTGGGATAAAACTTTGGGAGGTACGATTTGGCACGTCCTGCAGCCTGGATTTCTGTAACTCTATCCCTTATTCAAACTATCTCAAAAAACTTTATATCAGTAGGGCTGGGGTTTTAGCTCAGAGATAGAGCGCTTGTCTAGCATGTGTAAGGCACTAGTTTTGATTCTCAGAACCACATATAAGTAAAATAATGGTCCATAATTAAATAAAACAAAGGTCCATCAGCGACTAAAAATATATACAGATAAATAAATTTTATGTCTTCAGTTTGAATCATTATTTAGATAAGGCTCTCGTGTTGCATCTGGGTGCTGTTTTTGGTTTTGTCTATTTTTTGAAATAGGGTCTAGCTATATTGCCCAAGCTGGTCTCCAACTCCTGGGACTGAAGGAATCCTCCCACTTCAGCAGGCTAAGTAGCTGAGACATTGCCACCAGGGCAGACGATTGCTAGGTCAATTTTAATCAGTAAATTATCTTTTCATCTTTTAATTTTGCATTTTGTTGCTCCTAAAACTGAACAGTGCTTTTTAAAACTGATGTACATTAGAATCATCTGGAGATTTTGTTAAATCTCTGTTTCCAGAGATTCAGTCAAGGCTACATTTCTTTGCTTATTTATTTATTTACTTTTTGGTGGGGGGTAAAAGAGATTGAACCCAGGGGCACTCAACCACTGAGCCACATCCCCAGCCCGCTTTTGTATTTCATTTAGAGACAGGGTCTCACTGAGTGGCTTAGTGCCTCGCTTTGAACTCGTGATCCTCCTGCCTCAGCCTCCTGAGCTTTTGGGGTTACAGGCCTGCGCCACTGCGCGTGGGAAAAGTACATTTCTAGGGCTGGGGTTGTGGCTCAGTGGTAGAGCGCTTGCCTGGCATATGTGAGGCAATGGGTTCCATTCTCAGCACTGCATATAAATAAATAAAATAAAGGTCCATTGAGAACTAAAAAATATTTAAAAAAAAAAAGACAATATTGATTCACCAGGTGGTACAGATACTGTTGGGGTGGGATAAAACTTTGGGAGGTACCCTTTGGCACGTCCGCAGCCTGGATTTCCCTAACTCTATCCCTTACAGTGGTATCTTTCAACATCTCTATTTCCTGTTAAGGGAAATTTATTGAATTCCATGAAGGAGAGGATAACAGTTTAAAACTCAGAGTTTGAAGTTAGATTCCCTAAGTTTAAATTTCGCTTTTGACACTTCGCTGCCATGTGACTTTGGGCAAAAAACCACTCCATGGCTCTGTGAGACCCATATCACAGGAGAAACTTGAGGATGAAGGGAGACGATTTTGAGAAATAAAGGGCTGTCCCTTTAACGAGAGCGTGGCCACGTGACCCACGGGGTCACATGGCTCGTGGAACAACATGGCTGCGCCCGCTCGAGGGCGGGCTGGTGAACGCCGCGCCGCGCCCGCTCCCGAGCTCCTGCTGCCGCTGCTTTTGCTGATGTGCGGGGCGGCGCAGGGCGAAGAGGCCGGGGCCGGTGCGGGCGCGGCGTCCCTCGCAGGCTCCTGCGGCTGCGGCACGCCTCAGCGACCCGGGGCCCCCGGCAGCTCCTCAGCCGCGCACCGGTACTCGCGGGAGGCGAACGCCCCGAGCGCGCTCCCAGGAGAGCGGCCGCTCCCTCCCGCCAAGGTGCGCCCTCGACTCCCCTCTGGCGGGTGGGGGGGCTGCCGGGCTCTAGGACCCGGTCGCAATGGGCGCGGTCAGGGGAAGGTTACCGGAAGGCCAGTCGAGGCTAGAGCCACACCCACGCCACGCACCTGCGGCTCCCATTCGACCCGCGCTCCTCCTGCCCGCCCTTCCCTGGCGGGCTGCGTCCTGGGGCTCCCGGGTTGTGAGCCCTGGACTTAGTTCCCCGCCTTCCTCCTTCCCCTGTCCCGTGGTCCACACATGAATTTTAAGTCGGATAAGTTCAGGTTAAAATCCCCAATTCTTCTCTCACTAACTATAGGAAATTAGGATCAGGATCTCCAACTTTGCACTGCACTGATTTGCAATCGCCTGCCTACCTGAGGACAAGGACTTGGACAGTTTATTCTGTCACGTTGAACACAAGGAAGGTCTCAGCCAACTGGTTGCTTTATTATTTCTTACTTATCTGTTATGTCTTGCACAGTGGCTGGTTGTGGAGGGGCTAGGATTTGTACAGAATAAGCAGCAATAACAACTGGTGGTACGGATCCTACCTGCCAGGGACTTTGCATTCTGGTACATCTGAGGCAAACCTAATGCCCCTTCTTGTATACCTCGTGTACCCTATTCTTTTTCCATCCTAGTTTTCTCCTTTGGGATTTTTTTTTTGTTTCTGGACAATATTCAGGGCTTGGGTGAGAGGTAGCATCCACTGCTGGTTTACCTGACCTCCTCCGCTTCCCTCCCCTTCATTATTTCCATATCCTGTCCCAGTAGTATGTGTTTTTTTTTTTTTTTTTTTTGACATAACAATTACTAAGAATATTTGTCTCTTCCTGCAACTGGACACTGAGGGTGATGGAGGTTAGGACAATGATTTAGTCTTTGAGGTATGGAGTATAGGAGGTTGACAACTGGGCTTCTCATTATTTCTGTACACTTTTTGGCCTTTAAAGTTTTTTCGTTTTTTTTAAAGATAATGTGGGCAAGGGCCTCATTATTGGTGTTTACCTTTTATGGAGGTCCTGATTGATTTTTTTAGTTGATATTGACCATACTTAATTTTAACCTCTAAGTTACATGCTAACTGGTAATCTCTCCCTTTTTCTAAGAGAAAACTCCTTTATTAATCTATTTTGTAACTAACAGGACAGCTTTCTTATTTGCATATGCATATTGATCTTTCTCAAAATTTTGTCTTGAAACTTGTGGCCAGTGTTGAACATTTCTCATCTTTATATGCTCTGCCTTTCTGTGGGTTCCAGAATGGAATGTGAGTCACCATCATCTTTTGAATTAAATTTACAGGATACATATCTTTTGTCCCTGTAGAGTGGTTCTGTGCCCTTACTGAATATTGCCTGGGTCATCTTTTTTTTTTTTTAATTTTTTTATTGTTGGTTGTTCAAAACATTACAAATTTCTTGATATATCATATTTCACACTTTGATTCAAGTGGGTTATGAACTCCCATTTTTACCCCATATACAGATTGCAGAATCACATCAGTTACACATCCATTGATTTACATATTGCCATACTAGTGTCTGTTGTGTTCTGCTGCCTTTCCTATCCTCTACTATCCCCCCTCCCCTCCCCTCCCCTCCCCTCCCCTCTTCTCTCTCTACCCCATCTACTGTCATTCATTTCTCCCCCTTGTATTATTTTTCCCTTTCCCCTCACTTCCTCTTGTATGTACTTTTGTATAACCCTGAGGGTCTCCTTCCATTTCCATGCAATTTCCCTTCTCTCTCCCTTTCCCTCCCACCTCTCATCCCTGTTTAATGTTAATCTTCTTCTCATGCTCTTCGTCCCTACTCTGTTCTTAGTTAGTCTCCTTATATCAAAGAAGACATTTGGCATTTGTTTTTTAGGGATTGGCTAGCTTCACTTAGCATAATCTGCTCTAATGCCATCCATTTCCCTGCAAATTCTATGATTTTGTCATTTTTTAATGCAGAGTAATACTCCATTGTGTATAAATGCCACATTTTTTTTTTATCCATTCGTCTATTGAAGGGCATCCAGGTTGGTTCCACAGTCTTGCTATTGTGAATTGTGCTGCTATGAACATCGATGTAGCGGTGTCCCTGTAGCATGCTCTTTTTAGGTTTTTAGGGAATAGACCGAGAAGGGGAATAGCTGGGTCAAATGGTGGCTCCATTCCCAGCTTTCCAAGAAATCTCCATACTGCTTTCCAAAAGCCTGGGTCATCTTTAACCAGTCTTGTATTCACTTTCTATAATATTTGGAGGCATTCCAAGCCGTTCATAAAATTAGTAGTTGATGAGAACTTAGCTTACAAACTTTCAACCCAATCATTGATCCTAAGGTAACCTTGTTATCAAGGCCAATGTCTTCGTTGGAGGTAGTTCTTCACCTGTTTTCCTTGGTTTTAAATGATGTAGTTTATATGCAAATGACTAGTTTAATTCTGGCAGCATTTGTTCTAAATTTTAGGAAGTACAATCTTGCAGGAGAGTCTAATGATCATAGTGGTAGTTCTTCTATTCCTCTTGGTTTTCTGTTTATTTGGTTTGGTTCAACCAATGTTTGTTTTATATATATATATATCTCTGTTGTGTGTGCTGGGCGTACAGAACAGAAAGAGAACTGTTCTCCACCTTCATAGCATTTCTACTTTGGTAGGTTCTGTCTCTCATTCTTTCAGATACACAAACACATTTGCACACACACACACACACACACACAACTACACATAAGTATAATTTTGTGAATAGTAACAGTATAATTTTGTATATAATGATAGGCAGAGTAATGTACAGAGTACATAGAGAGGAAAAAGGGTTTCCTGCTTCTTGAATATGTCAAGAGGTGCCTTTTAAAAAGGTCATTTGAGCTAGGTCTTGGAGGAGATATTTTCAGGAGCTGAGGATTGAGGGTCAGATTGAAGGACATTCCAAGGAGAATAGCTTTGGCCCAAAGCACTATGTAGGAAGCATTTTGTGTTCTGGGACATGTAAATGATTTAAGGTTTCCTGGGAGTGACATTTTTCACACTTTTTTTTTTTTTCTGGGTACCAGGAATTGAACTCAGGGGCACTTGGCCACTGAGCCCCATCCCAACCCTATTTTGTATTTTATTTAGAGACAGGATCTCACTGAGCTGCTAGGCACCTTGCCATTGCCAAGGCTGGCTTTGAACTCGCAATCCTCCTGCCTCAATCTCCCAAGCCGCTGGGATTACACCTTTCTTAGATGCAATTCCTTTTTTTTTTTTTTTTTCTCTTTTGCATTAAAACAATTTTTTTTTTTAGTTGTAGATGAACACATACCTTTATTTTATTTCTTTGTTTTTATTTGGTGCTGAGGATTGAACACAGTGTCTCATGCGCGCTAGGCGAGGGCTCTACCAATGAGTTACACTCCCAGCCCTCTCTTTTGCATTTTAATTGATTTAATGAGCACTTGGTAAAGTGGGGACACAAAGAAGCAAGTAATACTAGGCTTTCAAGAAATTTGCACTTTCACTGAAAAGTATGGTAGTAAGAATCTCCGGGAAACAACATGCATTATAAATTTGACTTAAATTCCCTCTGATTAAGAAATACAGTTCTTACTGAGAAAATTATCCTAACAATGTTTCATATCACTTATTCTTTTGTAACAAAGTGACAGGATGTTTTAGTCTCCATGGATCATTTAGAAGAGGAACGTATAAGGCATTTAGGGTCATGAGGTGCCGAAAGTGTGTATGGTGCTTCTGTGCATAAAGTCAGTTAATGGCTTGTCTGAGGATGTTTCTGATGGTGTGACATTGCCTTGGCATAAAAGCACAATTGATGGCCATCTCTTCTGTGAAACCTTTCTTCCAAAAAGTAGGGTTTCTTTCCTCTGAATTTCCGTAGCATATTTTGTGGTTGTTATTTTCTGATGGCAACTTATCTATTTAGTTTATTGGCGGAGTTGTCTATCTCCGCCAATAAACTAAATAGATAAAATGAAGGCATTTTTAGACCCGTTGTAGTCTCTTTGTCCAAGGTACCTCACATATCTTAAGCATTCTGTAACAATTCCTCCAATGATCTGTTGCCTTTTATGTGGATACAATATTGAAAGATTACCTGAGGAATAAAGGATATCAGATACTTTTGAAAGACATCTTTATAAAATAAACTTTTGCTGTACTTATCTTCCCCAGAACCCTGTGAGACTTATCGAATCTCCCACTTTACAGATGAGGCAACTAAGGCTTCATCGGGATGGAAGAAACTTTGAATGTCATTCCATGTGTGATTAATGTCTGCGGAGGCAGGAGGGTGAGAGAATGGTAAAAATAAATAAGCTCTGTATGGGTGGATAAGGCCGCAGTTTGTAGACAGATCTGGAGAGCTTATTTCTTTTCTTTTTTTACCAGACTTTCTGCTTAGCCTTTAGCATTTGATTTAAGTTTGAGGAGTGGAAAGAAGGAAAAGGAAGCAGACATACACAAAACGAGTTGCGTCTGATATTCTTTTTGTGTATAAGACAAAAATCTTATAGGAATAACTAAAAAAAAAATGATAATTAAAACTGGTGTAAGCCAGGTGTGGTGGCCCATGCCTGTAATGTCAGCCACTTGGGAGGCTAAGGTAGAAGGATCACAAGTTTGAGGCCAGCCTTAGCAACTTAGTGAGGCCCTAAGCAACTTACTGAGACCCTGTCTCAAAATGAAAAATAAAAAAGAGCTGGGGATGTGGCTAAGTGGTAAAGTGCCACTGGGTTTCATCCCCAATACCAAACCAAACCAGGCAACCAAACAAAAAATGAAAGCAAAAAGCCAAACTGATATAAGCAGATTAAAAAAAAAATTGGCTGGACCTCTTATGGACTCTTCTTATGCTTGTGAAGTTCAAGAGTTTCTGTGGCCCCAGACATAGTGAGATTTCAGGAACTTCTGCAAGTCTCTCTGTCTCTTGGCTCTTCTTTCTTTTGTGTTATCTTTGCCTTCAGGTAATCTCTTTTCCTACTGATAAACTAGTTGGAGGAGAAAGAATTCC